TATTTGAATTTTATGTAAAAACTCATATTTATTAGTCATATCTGCCACACATCATGGATCGGATCCTTCCAAGTGCTAAACAAATGCTGAGGGCGACTATGGCCGCATTGATTCATCAGTCCAAACTTCCACATGGTCCAGTCACAGTGGCCAATCAGATGCCCTCCAGGAAGCCCCAAACACAGATACACAGCACTTCTCAACGCAAATTCAACTGCTGCCTCCAATTCTGGAAGAAAAATACAGCCACCAGTGGCCATGAATAGTCTTATCCTCCAGAAATTAGTCTCTCTTCTTTTTAAAGTCATCCATGGCCATGGACATCACCCAGTAATGGATTTCAGAGATTATCTGTGTGGGTACATGGATAAGGATTTATTATTGTCTTGAACCTCCTGCTTTTCAGCTTAATCAGGCAATTGTTACATACAAAATTCAGTCCTGGGGAACACTTAAATGTTGCCTTTCCCCCCCCGGATCATGCCAATCCTGTCATTCCAGAAGACAACTGGACCACCCCCATGAATGATCAGGCTGGCATGGTTAGAATGTTCTGCCAGAGGAGCTGAGTTCTACATATTTGGGTCCTGCTCCTCTTCTCATTCCATTCCTGAGACAGGAAGAAGTTTCTCTACTGTACAGCACAACACCACACATCACTACTACAGTGCCGGTTGGTTTAGACTTTTCTCTATGTGCTGTCATACTGACAGCTTCCTCAAAGGACAGCACAGAACTGCAAAAAGTAAATAAAGAAGACTGCGACTTGCCTTCAGATCAAGACAGTAAATCACTTAGGGCAGGAAGGAGAGGAATAGGACTATGGCCTTCAGGTTCTCACAGCTGGGAACCAATCATTTTCTTTGTCCCTGAAGGCAGGAAGGAATCTGACACATGTACCACCTATCACCAACTGCAGCACCCAGGCTACCATTTCCACTCTGAGGCAGATTTTGAACTGCAAACCTTGTGGCTGAAACATCTGGTCAAATTTTTGGTATTTCCAGCTGCACGTTAAGGATTTACCAACGCAACCATGAAAGTGAGATGCCAACTGTTGATCCTCAACGTGGAAAGGAGATTTGCCATACCCCTTGCATGGGAATAATTTAAAAACAACAGATAAACAGGGTGGGCCCCAGCAGCAAAAAATGAGCTACCCTTGCTTTAAAATACATATAAGCTTTCAAAGTGTAGAAATTTGTCATCAGGCACCCCTCCTCCCAGCAAGAATGCAAAGGCACATTTTGTCACATTTTGAAAGGAAATAGAAGTTCCAGCTCTGCCCAGGGCTCACAAGATGCCTTGGTCTGAAGTGCAACAGAAGGATAAAAAGAATGTATGTACTGGGGAGAGACAAAATAGACATGAAATGGTGTGTTGACCAACTGGGTGTTACATGCTGCTCCCTGGCTCAAGAGTTGCACAAAAACTATTGTCCTTTTGGTATTGATTCTGCTCTTTGGATTGTTGCCCAACACAGCTGATTTCATTGTGCAAGCTTGCTATGGGAACTTGTCTGGCTGAGCTCTTCAGTGCCTCACTGAGGAAAGGCAGGGCAGCTCCTTGTTTAAAACTGGCAACATTTGGACTTCTTCTTAAGTCTTCTTCTTCTTACCTTGGATCCCTCAATGGGGGAAAATTATAGGCCAGTCTCCAACTTCCCTAGGTTGGGAAAGATGATGGAGAAGGTGGTAGCAAGTCAGCTTCAGGTACTTTGGAGCAAACAGGTTATCTAGACCCATTTTAAGCAGGCTCTAAAGTAGGCTATAGGGTTGAAATGGGCTTGGTCAGCCTGACAGATGACCTTCACTATGGAACTGTCTCAGAGAGTGTGACGGTTGGGTTTTTCTGAATCTCTCCATGACTTTTGATACCATGGTATCTTCTAGATTTATTGACTGAGGGATTTGGGAATTGAGGCACTGCACTGCACTAATTCCATTCCTATCCTTTAGTTAGATCTCAAATGATACCTGGTGACACAGTTGCTCCTCAAAATTTACATAAACTCCCTCTTTGGAGCCACTTTGTCATTGATATGAAACTACTGAGTGAGGTCATCTTGGTGTTATCAAGATGCTCTTGACACTCTAACTTATTTCTCCATGTTATTGTCATCAAGTAATCTTAAACGCCTACGACAATAGGGCTATGCAGTGCTTAAGATTCAAAAAGGTGTTTCAGTGTGTGTAGAGACACTCTAGTAGTACCCGTTGGAAACTCCTTAACCTATCTTTTCCTGAGATCATGTAGTGGCTGCACGGGACAGCCATGTGATCTAAGAAAAAGATAAAACTGCTTTGCAGAGTTGCCAGCAGATGCTACTTGAGGGTCACTACACCCTATGAAGCACTTTTAAGAATCTGAAGTGCTGCATGGCCAAAGAGAGGCTGATAAGAGGTAATAAATTAGAACTGAATCCAAGCAAGGCAAAAGTGATCATTGTGAAGGTCATGATCTGGAAGTGGATGGACTCTCCTATTCTGGATGGGATTATACTGCCTCCAGAAAGCACAGATATACTAGCCATCACTCCTTTTCACCAGCTGAGACTACTACAGTAGCTCTGCCCATTTCTTGAAGAACTCCAAAGCAGTTGCGCATGAACTGGTGAACTCCAGACCGAACCACTGCTGCACGCTCTACGTAAGGCGACCGTTGCATACGGTTCAGAAAATTCAGGTAGTTCAAAATGTGGCCAGACTGGTAACAGGGACTACGCTTAGATACAATATTGTGCCTGTGTTCAAACAGTTGTACTTTCCATCCATAGGTTTTCAGACAAAATGTCAACTGCTGTTTATCATTTCAAAGCACTAAACAGCTTTTGCCCACGTTACCTCAAAGAACACTTTTATTTAAGATGATCAGGAGAACTTTGCCTGCATAACTCTTCTGCTTTTTATTTCTCGGTGCAAACTGAGTAACTGTATGCATTCAGCCTGTTATGCATATCTCACATTGTGAAATGAGTACATTTTTCTTTAGAGTTTTTAATGATTTTGAATAAGAATTTGGAATCCCACTCTAATCTCTTTATTGCAAGTTTTTCTCTAGCAGATGAGCACCATCATATGGCCTGTCTGGAACACTGGATTTTCTTTTGGAATTCCCTTTTAAAACTGCTGTATTTCTATGATCTGAACAGCTTTGTATTTAGCTCCTCCAACATAGAATGTTGGCATTATAATACCACCTACACTGAAAAGGGTTCTTACATTTAAAAAAAATGTTTGATTTTATCTCTTGTCAGATTGGTTATTACCCAGAGGGTTTTTGCTAGCAACCACCCTCAATACTACATGGCCAGGAAATGGTGAACTGAAATTTATTTCAGTTATTTCACTTGCTTCATTTTTTTTATTGTTAATTTGTCAGAAAACCAACAATAGTATCAATAGAAACGTTTTTTAAAGTCTCATTTTATCATCAAAGGATTTTCAGGGAAGGGGTACACATAAAAGAGGGTAAAACTTCGCAGTCGAATCCTAACTAGGCATTTTATAAAATTAGGATCTACTTTCTAGTGAGAAACAGGGCTGAGAAGAGAATGTGCCAGCCAGCCATGTGGGACACATCAGAAGGTCAATCTGGAGATTCCTCACTTACACTGTAAAGCAGGGTTCTGCTGCTCAAACTATAAAAACAAAATAACAGCTATTTCCCACTAATCAGCACATAATGATGTTGTTTTTAACTCAAAAAAGGCTATGCGTGGCTAGCATGGGTTAACGTTTAGACGGAAAACTATCAGGGAATCCCATGGCTGTAGGCCGGGAAATGGAAAACGCATCCTGGAAGAAAGCAGTGGCAACCTATGGCTGTGTTGTTGCCAAAAAAACAACTCTGAAGCCAACTGAGCTGGACAGAAGGGAGGAGACAGCTGCTTAAACTTGGGGTACCACCGGCAGCAGCTGCCCTGCAGAATTCCAGCTAAAACAAGTGGGAGCTGCACAAGGGCTCCTGACTGACCAATTAACCCCCTTGCCCCTAAATTAGCCATTCCCTGCAGCGGCGGGTGCACAGCCCTCGACTGGGCCCCAAGGACCCTGACTGCCTATCCTGCTCTGGAACCCAGAACTGATCGCCAAGTTAGTTAAGGTGTTAAGTTCCTTTGAGGAAAAAGGCAGGCTGGGCCTTTCAGCCATGATCCTGGGTAGAGCAGGCAGTCTTCCCCAACCTGCTAGGCCAGGACTATGCGATTCCCACAATTCTTAGCCAGCATGGCCTACGGATCCTGGGTATGGGAGTCTCAACACCAGGCAGAGCAACCCCAGCTGAGCTCAAGATTCCCAAGAACTGCATTCTGGGGAAGGGTTCCCAGGATCCCTCTTGGTTAGGCTTTAAAGCCATGAGCAAAGTGCAAATCCATCTGAGATTCGGGTGTAAACCCTGGGGCTGCCCATCTGCGGGGTGGGGGTACACTGGAAACAGCCAAACTGGGATGAGTTTGTGTCTAGGAACGTATGCCTTTTTTCCATATCAGCCTTTCCCATCCCGTCCTCTTCTGAATGTCAGCTTGCACTCCGTAAACAAACCACTCACCCCCTCGAATGCGTGGGGCGTGTGCAAGGGGAAGAGATAATCCTGCCTCATCAGCAAGGAGACAGGTGGAAATTGCCTCTGCCTGACAATGATCTACGCACAGTAGCTGGCTCTCAACCCTAAATTTCTGTGCTCTCCTTCCTTTTTCACTGTGTTATTTAGTAATTCTGAATCGTGGAAAATATAAAGTGCTCAACTGAGCCAACTGCTGTTAAGCAATTCCATTTGGACACTCCCTTAAAGCCAAACTAAGGATTCAGGATATTCCTTTAAACAGGAAATGTCTTATCAAACCCAGGTCTCTTCTGAATCAGGTTCTGGCAAGGAGTCAACCAATGTCATCCTTTCCAGCCGAAGGTATTTAGCACCAATGAAGGGAAAGAGGACGCTATCGCTCTGCTGGGGATACGGCAGCCCTGATAAAATGCAGCCTAGAAGAGAGATTCACGTACCTGAATTTAGGACACTTCTCTTCACATCTGAGCTACTTCGGCCCGGTTAAGCTTCACCAACTTCCGACAGTAAGAAGAGCTTTTTCAAGGGGGCTGCCTGATCGCAATTTTTTCAATGAAGTGTTTGAATCAGCCTTGCGCAATGTGGGCCCCCTCCGGGGATGTGGACTTCAAATCCAGGATGGTCTTGGCTGAACATTTATTTACTGTATTTACAAACATATTTACCAACACATCCAGAAGACATCCAGATCAAGGGAGATGGGCTATGCTATGCTATTCCGTTTTTAAAGGCAACCTCCCCATTACAAAGACTTCTGGGCACTGTAGTCCAATGACAGCACTGAGGAATGCCTTTCCCTGATCCCACCGTCCCTGAGGCAACTGGGTCTCTTCTCCAAGATGTGTAGACTTCAGTTGCTAGAACCGGCAGCCAGCTTGGCCGCTCCTGAGAATTCTAGGAGTCCACGCATTTGGAGACCATCCAGCCTGTCGAGGGCTGACCTTGAATACAGTACTTCCTTTCCAAAAGGAGTCCAATGTGAGCAGTTAATGTAATGGAAAAGGAAAAGTAGTGGGGAATAATTTAGTGCAACGAAATCCCATTCGGTTTTCATCATAAATCCCCTATTGGAAAGGCAGCTTCAGGGCCCCGCTCAGCACAAAAAAAGTTTGCGCACCCTTGCACTAGGCTACGCATGGTCTGCCTGGGGCCCCCAGCTGCAAAATGGCAGACCCCACCCTCTGCATCAGCCAGTTTAGAACCCTCTGTTTTCAAGACTCATGACCTCCTCCCAAGCACAGAACAAATCTGGGGCTTGGCAGTGCCCTTCCTGCTGACGTGCCTCTTCAAGGGAACGTGGCTGAGATTAAGCAGGTGGCAGCGCCCAGAGGAGAGGGCTGGTCCCGAGGAAAGCCTGAGACGGAGGCCAGGGCCACATTCCTTGCGGTCCTTTAGTAATACATTAAGTGCTGCAGGAGGAGCCAGGCGGGAGGGAGGTGCTGCCTGCAGGAATGGGGGAGGACAGAGTGGGAAGGAAACCATAAAGAAGGCTCCGTTGTTTGTTTCCACAGAGTTGTAGGTCTACCCAACCCAGCTTACTTCCAGGAGCAGGCCCAGACCATAGAAACGAACAAAGCAAAGCAATGGTACCCTGGGGAGAGGGACCACAATTTCTGCCCCCCATCATTTGTTGTAAACAAAACACAACCATTCTACCTCACTTCACACCCAGAAAAATATAGATGTCTTTATGAACAACTCCCAATTTTTAAGGGACATGGGTCTTTAGCCTTTCAGATAAGAAGTCTCAGTTTAAAGCCAATCCCTTCATGCATTCATTCTTTGGGGGAAGATTCACATTTCTTCTACAGCAGAGTCCAATATTCCCTTTTCCCTTAAAGGAAGTAAATGCTCCCTAAACATTAAAATGAAATACTTAATAAAACTTAATAAAAAAAATACTAAATACTTAGTTTGCAAAAGATGAGCTCTTATTAATCAAGCTTAGGAAAACTCAGTAGAAGGAGTGGCGTCCTATGTCCTTTGCTACGTGGACAGGTGCCGATAAATCAGAGCAGTGGTCTGAGAGACAGAGATAGGGTGCTAACTAACATTTTCTCCAGGGGAGGGAGACTTGGTTTTCTTCCTGCAGGAGGTAGGCTTGAGAAGAAAAGAGCAGGACAAACCAGCAGACTGCGACCTACGGCCCTCGCCTGAGAGAAAGGCCACCGGCGCGTTCTTGATCCGTATGCAGAACCTGCTCTCATAGGGACAGAAAGTGGGGGAAGACAAGCAGAGCGTAACCCACAGATCTGGCTTACTGGCCCCTTGGCATGCTCGTAACCCCAAGAGAAAAACACGCTTTCGAAGGGATGGACAATGGTCAGCCAGGCATTCCCAGCCCTCCCCAGGCACAAGAGGAGCCTGTGTCGCCAGAATCCTCTCCCCCAAACTTCTCTAAAGGCAGCGTGGCCCCACAGGGTGAAGGAAGGCGGAAACTGCCATCCAGCAGAACTACCCAGCCCAGACAGCACTAAGTACACAAAATGGGGATTTGGGAAGGAGGAAACCTCCCCCCACCAAGGCTTTCGCCCCTAACCTCTCTTACAAATTTGTCATTCAAAAGAAATTGCTTCTGGTCACAGAGTGATGGAAAATGTCAACTACAGATTGGGAGTGGGAGGAAGTAGGGATTTATCCTGGGATCTACAACTCATATCAATCCAACACTCAGCAATTCCGACTCGGGCCAAGATTGGGTGCTCTTTGACACAGACCCTCACTTGCAGTCACAGGAATGCCCAGCGCTGCTGCTGCTGCTGCTGCTGCCACCTGGGCAACGCACTGCAATCAACTGTTTGCTTCTTGGAGGTTTTCAAATGCCAGTGGAGAGAGTCTTGCAGACCGCCTGCACCCCTCCCCCAAATGCTCCTGTGAAGACGTTGAGGATGCAAGGAGAGAACAAGCAAGGGCTAAACCCCGTTGCCCTGCAAACATGAAAACTATGGAGGGCTCCCAAGAGGCAGCAGGGGGAAAGACCAGCCATTCCTAGTAGGATTGTCAAGAGGCTACTCCGTGACTACATTTGGACAAGTAACCTCTACTTACAGAAAAACAACTGATTACAAACAAAGGGGAGCAAAACTGGTCATACTTCAAACTAAAAATAAAATGGTATCATCAGCTGCTGAGCTTGCAGGACAGTAAATGGGCTCAAGAGCCTGGGGGCGGGGGCATCACAGGTTCCTGTATGAAGACATTAAGTCAAAAAGTGACCCAAAGGTCTGCCTGGGCTAAAGTTAGTCTTGTCCTTCCTCCTGAGAGGGATAACCCTTTCCCGGATTGGTATTGGATTGGTAGGGGAGCCCACCAAGTCATTGTTTGTGTTCAACCACAGGCCATATTAACAGCACTCCACCAGCCCTCGGTCAACTGGCAATTGTTCTGCTATCGGCTCCAGGCCAGATCCTGTTCCAGCCAGGTCCCGTCCGGTGCACAGCAATGGTGAACTGGTGCCCAGCGGGCAGGGCACTTCCTAGCAACATCCCCTTGTCAGGCACCTCCACCCCACAGTTTAATGTAATGAGGGCAGCATTAATGCATGCTGTGGAGAAATCATGCAGCTGCTGAAGAGGGCTCCAAGATTTGCAGAGCTGCAGAGAAGCAGCAGCAGGTCATAGCAGTAGCCTTGCACAAAGGCTACTATGTCCCCTTATGGCTGGTTTCAAGGTCATGGATATCAAGAGGCAAAGTGAGAAAAATCTGGGCCCAAATGAGAGGCAGGGAGATTCAGCCCAAACTGTGCGTGCGTGCGTGCTGAGCAAAGAGAGTTATGCATGCCTGGAGGATGGCCAGTCACATACCAGCACAACTGCACAGCAGGCCAAGGAGTTAGCTAATTCACAGGAAGCCTGTCAACAGCCTTCATGTTGTTGGAACTTGAGGCTACAAGCTGCCAGAGGTTTTTCACCCACAGCAGCCTCTCAAAAATTTGGCACAGGAGTGTTCGCTCAGCCGCAGAAGGAATCGGGGCATTTTTAAAAAAAAGAGGCCTTCTTGAGGAAGGAAAATTATTTTGTTCCTGGGCGTGCAGGGAGAAAGACGTTTCATCAACTAAAGTTTCAAATGTAAAATGTTGCTGTTCTGACATGGACAGCTGGCCAGAAAGCAAGTACCAACGGGTCCAACTGCAGGGTGCTCAGCCTTGGATACAAGCACTTGGCATCCACCTTTTGTTGATGCATCTGAGGCTGAAGTGGACACTGGCCCTCCACAATTAAGTCCACCAGAGGAAAAATCAAGTCATTTCCACTCCAATGACAAAGGAACACACGCAGATGGTGCCAGATTCAACCTTCCTCCCTCCCTCCAGCCAAGATGACCTGGGACAGAACCAGCCTTAAACCGGGGAAGCAGCCCCGGTTGGGGCAGAGAGTCATGCGCCAGAGGGAGAGTGTGTCTGTGGGGGATAAAGCTGCTTCCAGCTCACCTGACACAGCCAGCTCAATCAGCTCCTGTCAAACAGCCCCACCCTCCGAGCCTCCGCTCACTGCTTGGAGCGTTGGGTCTTTATTTCATTTGTTAGCTTTAAAGGCTGCCTCCTCCAGGCGTTCAAGGCAGCATCCACAGTGCTCCCTCCTCCCATTTCCCCATCGCCCTGTGAGGTAGGATGGGCTAAGGATGACTGGCCCAAAGCCACCCAGGGAGCTTCTATGAAGCAGACCTGGTCCACTGCTTCAACCACTACACACTGGTCACCTCCTTCTTCCTTGTTCTACCTTTTAATCTACAGGATGTTAGAGGTGACACACAACTTATTTAAAACAGCAACACACAAAACCAGCGAAACATAACTGGATCTGAATATCAAGAAGAAACCATTTCCCGATTTATTTTTCTTTTTTTTTGGGAAAAAAGCCTCCCCTTCTCATGGAAAGACTTTCCCAAAGCAGCAAGAGGGGCCCCCCTCCAAAAGCGTTCCCAAAAGCACCTCGACCATTCATGTGGGGATTCCTTCCAGGCCCATACATGCAGGCCAAACAGTAGATCTCTGACAAGGAAATAAAACACAGGAGAAGCTTTTGACCCATCTTAACTTTTTGGACCATACCCTCCAGACACCCTTGTTTCCACCTCTTCCAAGCCCCAGGCTGAAAAATCTCTCTCTAGCACAAACAAAGGCACACCTGCCGAGGCAAACAGAACTGCTGAAGGCAGCGTGCAGTGAGCGTCAGAGGGGGAGAATTGCACCATGGCTGTTACTTGCTGGACTGGCTTGGCCAGCCCCCTTCTCCACCCTGGCCGTTTACCCTGGTTTGTAATTCACAGAATCAGAGGGGGCCGCTGAGATCCTTGAGTCCCCCCCGGCTCAGGGTGGGAATCCAAATTCAGGCATCCTGACAACACCTGCTGGGCTTCTGCTCGGAGAAGGGCGGTCACCAACTCTCTGGCTTGGTGGTTCTTGTACTTGATTGTGTTACAATTTTTTTCTTGGAATTTAATCAGACTTTGCTTTCCATCTAACTTCAAACTGTTTTCCAGGTCCTGAACTTGGCATGATAGAGAAGAGATCCTGATCTGCATGCTGCTTTTCAGATACTTGAGTCTTATCAAGTCCCACTCAGTTGTCTTTCTTCAAGAGCAGACATTACATACATACATACATTTGTTCACTCACTCATTTAACAAATATGTTAAATATATCTATTACATGTCTATTCTGTCAATCTTTCTTCCCAGGCTTTTGTTTCTATTCCCCCATCATCCTTACTTCCCTTCTCTGAACTCACTCCAGCCGGTCTGAATTCTTCTTACAGAGCGGTACCCAGAACAGAACACAGTACTCAAAATGGGATCTGACCATCACAGGGTGAAGCCAATTGACTTTAATAATAAATAAATAATAATAAATATATCCTGTGATTTATCTCGCTGTGCAATGAAAAATGACCAAAAGAGTAAATAGTAAAATTACCCCCAAATAGAATCAGATTATCAGTATAATAATATACAGTAAAGACAAGGTAGGGGATACAAAAGTAAAATAAAAATCTCTATAAATGTTTAGATTACATTTTGTTTTTCACAAAGAGGAAAAGAAAATAGTAAGACATCCACTCTCCAGACTTCAGATGCCACAGACATAATTTTGCTCCAGGCTTCATCACCAAACAATGGTTCATTGTTTCTAAAGGAATCTGGGCAATGATATC